AAATGAGTTTGGCTGCTCTTAGGGCTTTTGTGGGAAAGCGGGCATCCTCAGTGCCTCCTTAAGAAGAATTGTCGGAGGGTCAGCCCAGTTGCTGTCTGCAGGCAGCCCTCACCCTCGCTGAGGGCCATTAGCTGTGCCCCGATGACCATAGGCTGTGGGGTCGTCATCACACATGTGGGCTGGAGCTGAGATTTGGGGGTTACGCTAGAGATAGCCCTCAAGCATTCTTTTGAATCTCAGTGTACAGCTGTGGGCCGGGGATGGCCTGAACTATAAGAAAAAATGGTGCATTTTCTTGGAATACCTATTTTCCTTTAGATGGAAGAGGAAATGTATATTAAAAGAAACACACATTTTAATGTGGGGTTGACCCAAATGGACATGAATTTTAACGGGAAACTTCCAAGACATTTCGCTTTTGTGATGAGCCCCTTGGAGCTATGCTTCAGACCTCAGTAACGGGCAGTCCCTTTACTCAGGCTTTGGAGCCTTCTCAAATAAAATACTTTCAGAAGTGAGCCAACCTACTTACCCTACTCTTCTGAAAGCACCATCCTTAAACAGGGACCTTGCTTTGTGTTGAACCCACAGCAATAGCCAGTGAGTCTACCCCAAGACAAGGGGTATCGAGTGGAATCCGTGCTGGATGTAGGGTGGGAACACTGAGATTATTTTCCGGGCCCATCCCTTTGTTGCTGGACTTCAGGCGTATAGCTCCTTTTCCCCAAAAACTCACTATCCTCCTCTATTTAATGGGGGTGGTGGTATCTGCCTGCCTGGGCCCTTGTGAGCGATAACTGAGACAAAGAGGGGAACTTTGCTTGTCAATAGTCTCGTGCGTGGGATTTCTCTTCAGTATTAAAGCACAATCAGCACCAATTTCTGATGGCAGGTACATCATCATCATAGGGCTGCATGAAAGGACTCCATGTTACAAACTGTCCCACCATGTAAAACACAGTTCTTATCATTATTGAGCACCCACTAGCTGAATTAAGGCCAGGCATGGAGAATACTAAGTGGGACTACAAGACGACTCTGATCTATGGAACTCCCCGTCTAACTGAGAAAATCAGACAAATGTCACCAATGTGGGACAGCTAGCAAGCAATAGCTAGATTGTGCAGGTGAGCTGTGTGTTCAGACTTTATAATAAAGAAAATAGGACCATCACAGTGAATCTTTACGGAGGTTTAGTGTATGCTAGGCATTGTCCTAAGGGCTTTACCTGTAGTTATCTCTTCTAGACCTTCTAACAAACCTCCAAAATGTATCTTCTTTTATAATTGAAGAATGGAAGCTTAATGAGATGAAGAGCCTTGCCCACGAGCCTGTAGTGTTTGCACCAGATTTGTTTGACTTGAAAGCCTCTGACTAAAAGGCTTTCCCAGGGAGCTGTGACCATGTGGGGCAGGCGTGCATGAAAGTTGCCAAGGAAGTCCGATTTTCTTCATTTCTTATCCCCTGAGCACTAGAGCTCCGGGACCCCTCATTGTGCCTCAGTTTCTTCATGTGCAAACTAAAGTGATTGACTTAGTTGATCCCAATTCTGAGGCTCTAGATACACTTGTGAAAAGGGAAACTAGGCAGATTCAACCTCAGTCTACAAACGCTTCTGATAGGTTTTGAAGTCTTTATTCCAAATGGAATGAAAAAGGGCATGATACAACCCTAAACTAGGCCTCATTTATCTCGCAGAAGATGATACATTTAATTTTGGAAAAATAGAGGTAGGGCAAAAACTGCACAACTCATCCACTGCTTTGAAATAAATTTTGAATATATATGTGTGCATGTATGTGTGTGTGTGTATATATATATATGCCTGTATATATTGAAATATAAAATATAGATGTTTGTATATAATATATATGGTATATATGTATGTAAGTCTAGGTATATGCATACAAACATTTATCATTACTATCATTGCAATTTTTATTCCCCTGCTTGAATTTTAGGCTGACTCTCCCTCTCCTATACTCAGAGCTTAGAGCTGTGAGTACTGAGACATCGGGAAATCCCAGCTTTTACTCCTTTATTCGCCATCTTTAGAAGTTGCTGCTTCTTGTTCTCTAGCTATTTCATAGTTCCTAACTTTGCTTAAAAGCATTTCTAATTCCTCACATTGAAAAGTGGATTGCAAATGAAGTTTAATACGGAATGTTTTGTACCAAGAAAACTAATGCCCCATTTTCCCCCCTAATGAATGCCAAAATCATCACAGACTCAAGGCTCATGAATAATGTATATCGTCCAATTAAGTGCAAATGCTGTTCAGTTCTTGCAACTGGTATGTGATGCCAGTTCTGGCCTCAGAATGGGCCCTGAGGGTGGGGTTGGGAGAAGGGCTTGAGGAGGGTTGAGGTTGTGTGTGTGGATGTCTGACAGCTAAGCCCCTACAACTTGTAGCGTGCTCATTATGTCCTGGGAGCTAAACTTCCCATGCTCGAGTCCACAGAGAGGTGTTTTTTTCCAACCATAAATAGAACTTATCTTAAATTTCTAAATCCTCAGTCACTAATAGCCTGGGAGCTCTTGCCTGGTCATGTAAAATGATCAACATTTTTGCCTGTAAAACCATCAACTCTAATTGGCCAGCAGACCCCTCTCCCCAAGCTGAACTGCTTCAGGTGGTCAACCTCTGGAGGCTGACCCTCCGAGGGAGATGCAGCAGTGATTCTTTGCACCCAAAGAGTACATTTTATTCTTTCAGGTCCTGATCCAGATGTCTTTCTTCACCAAGAGATCCTGGCAGCCTTTTAAGGCAGCTAAACTGGGTGGGATTTTGGTTTTGGGGTTTTGTTTTTTGTTTTGTTTTAGCATTTGTTTATTTATTTGCATACAATACTGTGGTCAGGAACTTGTTAATTCTCCAGGGAAACTGTTTGCAATGCATCACTGAAGCGACAACTTAACAGTTCACACTGATCATTCCCTGTGGTCTGCCATGGTGACGGTGATGCTTTCATGTATCGTGAGCATGAATTGGGTGCGTTCTTTATCTTCCACTGCCAAAAACACAGAGCCAGGAGGACATGATATCAAGTCACTGCTTTCACATACCTGGTAAAGGTGGTCATTTCACATATCTGGGCCTCAGTTCCCTCATCAGGAATAGAAGATGGTAACTGACGATTGTTTTATCCAGGTGGGTGTATAAAGTAAAAGCGGTATTATCTGTGAATCCTGAAGCCTTGTGCAAATGTTTGTAACTGTCCTCTTGGCTTTGAGTGTATAGACATTCTCACTTGCAGCTTCACAACTGGACATGACAAATCTCTATACCTTGGGCTTGCCCAAGCCTGATTAATGTTGTTCATAGAAATATTCATCCATCAGGGTTTGCATTTGTAGCATTTAGTTGTGTCAAATATCAGAGCCAGCCAGCGGTTTCTTAGAATTACACCGCCTAATAATGAATGCTGGAGACAGAATTTTTTTCAGCCTAAAATCTCTTCTTACAACTCAGGGCTGATGAGTACTGCCCTGCATTTCTCGATGGATCCAATTTAACACCAGGCGAAGCAGTGACTCAGACTAACTTAAATATCTCAAGATGAGTTTCACCTTTTCCTCTGAGGCCGTATCAGTTCAATTGCCTAAGTGCAAATTTATTGAAAGTGGTTTGGTGCTTAGCTTTTCTCTATTGGCAGTAATGGACTTTAAATTTATAGCAGGCTGATGAATTTCAGATAAGAGAACCATTACCTTACAAAAACATTAAGGAAAAATATATAACTACAATTGCTGAACCTCAAATGCATACTGTTTGAATGAGGGGAGATGGATGAGGTAGGCTGACATTTGCAAATGCAATTGCTCTCCATCCTCATGGTGCTAGCCCAGGAGTTTGAAAGCATGGCATATTCCAGAAAGGGCTCGGGATAGCTAGGCATTACAAGTGCATTATAACAAAATAGGAGGAGTAGGATATGATCTAGAGGTGAGGGATTTTTCCTTCTCTTAATTAATATAATTGAAGGTGTCTTTTGGCAACGGACCAAGGCTGTCATAGGGCTTGGGTGGTTCATTTGGTACCTGTGATGTCCTTTCCCATATGTTATTTTCCTTTTATACATGGCTTTGTCTTCCCACAGGGTGGGACTCTGGCATTGTGTAGACTAAAATGAAGGATGCCCAGTACAAATGTGAGGTCCGAAGAGACCTAGGCTTCTCCATTTTCTTGGGGCTTCCGGTATACTGGGGTGGGGGGGGAAGGAGTGAAATTGAAACAGTTGTATTTTAAAATATTTTGTTATATTTTTAAATATGCTGAACAAATTAACTCTTTAACTTAAAAAAATGCAATAGGGCTTCCCTGGTGGCACAGTGGTTGAGAGTCCGCCTGCCGATGCAGGGGACACGGGTTCGTGCCCCGTTCCGGGAAGATCCCACATGCTGCGGAGCGGCTGGGCCCGTGAGCCATGGCTGCTGAGCCTGTGCGTCTGGAGCCTGTGCTCCGCAACGGGAGAGGCCACAACAGTGAGAGGCCCGTGTACCGAAAAAAAAAAAAAAATGCAATATAGTTGTGCTACACATAAGATAATCACAGAATTGATAAAATAGGGGTTATAGACAGTATTTTTCCACAATGGAACACAAGTTTTGGGTTGTGTGATGAACTTTATTTTTTCCCCAGTTCTGTCACACATCTTAGCAATTGTGTGAATAACCTCGTTTGGAGATAAAGTCTCTTTTTTAAAGTTTATTTTTATTGAAGTGTAGTTGCTTTACAATGTTTCAGGTGAGCAAAGGGACTCAGCCATACATACATATATTCTTTTTCAGATTCTTTTCCATTATAGGTTATTACACGATACTGAATATAGTTCCCTGTGCCATACAGTAAGTCCTTGTTGTTTATCTGTTTTATATATAGTAGCGTATATCTGTTAATCCCAAATTCCTAATGTATCCCTTCGCTGCTTTCCCCTTTAGTAACCATAAGTTTGTTTTCTGTGTCTGTGAGTCTGTTTCTGTTTTGTAAGTAAGTTAATTTGTATCCTTTTTTTTCTCTAGATCCCACATATAAGTGACATCATATGATATGTCTTTCTCTATCTGACTTACTTCACTTAGTATGAAGGTAACGTCTTAACATGAGATCCTTTGTGGGCTTGTGTGTCAAATAGCCTTTCTGCTTTTCCATTTCCATCCCATTCCCCTATAGGACATAGCTTTCCAAAAAGTTTCATTCTTGGGCAAGTTACTTATTTTTCTGGCTCTTGTTCTCCTTATCCATAAAATGCATGTGTGTCTGTGACAGGGGTAGAGGTAGGGGATTCCCAGCGCCACTGTGGTCCAAGATGAGACCCCAAATTTCCCCAGGATGCAAGGCATTTTCCCTGCTTTTGAAGAGAAAAGTCGCTTCAGCCAGCCTCCAGGAAGACCCCTCTTGGGGTGGTTTCGCTGTGGTCTGGTTTCTCTGTGGTCCTCTCTCAGTCCAAGGCCGCTTCTCTGCAGTTGATGCTGTGCAGGGGGAACCAGCCACATCCAGCCCTGAGAATGAGAAGAAATGGAGGAAAAAGACATTGCATTTCTACGAATCCCCCTGACCCTCCTGAGAAGGGAGGGATGAGCCATGAAAACTGCCTGTGTCATTTTATTTATTTATTTTATTGATGTGTAGTTGATATACAATGTTGTATTAGTTTCAGGTGTACCAGCAAAGTGATTCAGTTATGTAGATAGATAGATATTCTTTTTCAAGTTCTTTTCCCTTACAGATTATTACAAGATATTGAGTATATTTCCCTGTGCTATACAGTAGTTCCTTGTTGATTATTTTATACATAGTAGCATGTATATATGCTAATCCCAAACTCCTAATTTATCCCTCCCCACGCCCCCTTCCCCCTTTGGTAACCATAAGTTTGCTTTCTATGTCTATGAGTCTATTTCTGCTTTGTAAATAAGTTCATTTGCATCATTTTTTTAGATTCCACATATAAGTGATATCATATGAGATTTGTCTGTCTGGCTCACTTCAGTTAGTATGATAATCTCTAGGTTCATCCATGTTGCTGCAAATGGCATTATTTCTTTCATTTTTATGGCTGAGTAATATTCCATTGTATATACGTACCACATCTTCTTTATCGATTCATCTGTCAGTGGACATTTAGGTTGCTTCCACGTCTTGGCTATTGTAAATAGTGCTGCTAGGAACATAGGAGTGCATGTATCTTTTTGAATTAGAGTTTTCATCTTTTCCAGATTGGAATTGCAGAACATATGGTAATGCTATTTTTAGTTTTTTAAGGAAACACATACTGTTCTCCATGGTGGCTAAACCAGTTTACATCCCCACCAACAGTGTAGGCGGGTTCCCTTTTCTCCACACCCTCCCCAGCATGTATTATTGGTAGACTTGGATGATTCTGACTGGTGATACCTCATTATAGTTTTGATTTGCATTTCTCTAATAATTAGCGATGTCGAGCATTTTTTCATGTGTCTGTGGGCCTTCTATATGTCTTCTTTGGAGAAATGTCTATTTAGATCTTCTGCCTATTTTTTTGATTGGGTTATTCGTTTTTTTTGATATTGAGCTGTATGAGCTGTTTGTATATTTTGGAAATTAATCCCTTGTTGGTCATGTTGTATGCAAATATTTTCTCCCATTCCATAGATTGTCTTTTTGTTTTAGCAATGGTGTCCTTTGCTGTGCAAAAGCTTTTAACTTTCATTAAGTCCCATTTGCTTCTGTTGATGGATATTAGGTTGCTTCCATGTCTTGGCTATTGTAAATAGCGCTGCAAAGAACATTGGGGTGCATGTATCTTTTCGAATTATAGTTTTCTCCTGTGTCGTTTTAGACACTGCTCCTCTGGCCTTTGTCCCAGCACTGCAGGCAGGGAATGGAAGTCCACTCAAACTGCCTTGCACACAGAGGGTTCTTCCTGTGTGGCTTGCAGTCTCTGTCCTAGGACACCAGAGGCAGCCCAACACTTAAAACGCAGTTAGCTTTAAGAGAGAATCTTCAGGTTTCTATAAATAATGCCAGAGGGATTTGTGTAGAATGAGACATTAGTTTTGTAGTTATACACACAGCAAATTTGAAAGAAAGGGGGCTGAATTCAGCTGGCTGGTGGTTTATTATGAAAAAAACTAGCTATTAATTGAACTCAGCAAAGTTTGAATGAAATTAAATCGGCAAACACATGATGTTTTGCCAGCAGTTTTCTCAGCCAACAACCAGCTATTGGTGCGGCCCAATCTTGGAAAAGTTGATACTGTCATTCTGGGCTAAAGCAACTGACTGTGGTCCCTTGTTATAATAGCCCATTAGAAAAAACACAGACTAATGTGGCCTTGAGGAGAAAATTATATTTTAAATGCCAATTGCAGAACAGTGTCCATAGCTGATCCAAGAACATCAATTATAATTTTAATGTGGAGTCTTTAAGTCTCTATCAGTAACCCCAGGTCGTTTGTTTTTAATGTAAGGACAATGGCACACACCAAAATAGTAAAATTAAAAGTAACCATAACTATCATATTACATTTTGATTCACAGACAAACATAATTTTGAAAGTGAGAGATAATGAGAGATTATTTAGTTCAATTTTCTTATTTTACAGATGAAGAAACTGAGACCTATACAAATGACCCTGCCTTCCCTGGGGTGGAGATTCCAGCCCCATCTCCTCCTTTTAGTGTCTTGCCTTACAGAAACTGACATCATGGAGCTTCATAAATTAGGAAGGACAGATTATTTTTTTGGGTCCCATTTTAATTTTTCTCAAAACTCATAAAATATCATTAGAGTGCTGTTTAATTTTTTCTGAAAAGCAGGAAATCGTAAGATTGATAAATAGTTTAATGTGAACCTGATGGCTTGATTAATTAATCACCAAGCTGAGGAACCACTACAATTCATATGTCAATTCAGACTATTTTCGAGAAATGATTTGAATCAATTGCTAATGAAATTGAGGAATTTAGGAGCTGCTTTCTGACTTCCAAATGACAGGGCTCATATTTAACTCAAGAGACGTGACAGTTAATGACAACATTAAAAAGTGCCATGAATATTTTCCAGATCATGGGAAAATTATAGCATCTCCCCATTGAAACAGCTCTCAGCTCATCAGCATGAAAATAAACAGCCTTAATCACATGCTAAGAAATCTTCGATGCTGTTTAAAATCTAGGTTCTTTTTCTGAAATAAACAAAGACCATAATCCTCAGGAATAATTGTAATATTTCATAACCTCTTCCTTAATACAGAGTTATAGGTGAACCTAGTCTAATTGATATGACTTCTGAAACCCTATGGGAAAAAAATTGTGGATCATTGTTCATAGATCTAATTACTTTAAATCCTTAAAATAGGTAGAGTTTAATTTTTCTTCCCTGCTTTAATTCATAGGCTGAGGTCTCCAGTCCTGTTTATGTATAAAAGGGCTAGCTTTGTACATCTTTCTGTAACTTTTCATTTCCAGCCAGACTCTTTAATTAATTTAAAGTTACATCTAGATATAACAAGACAGTTATTATGTGTTAATGGAATATCAGTGGCAAGTGGGAAAGGGCACTGATCAATATTTAATCTAATTAAGGTGTACACAAGGCAATATTATTATGTAATTAACTCAAAATAGCATAAGTAATACATGCCTGTTTAAATTTTTATTAATATATTTGTTAAAAATTTTTAGGTCATGCTGTTTTATGGGCTTTCTTGAGAGATACAAAAGTAAAATGTTTGTCAAGATGCTACCAGAACAACTGTTAAATGTGGCTCTTAATCATCTTAACAGTCTTTAAGGTTCCAGTGCAGTTCTAATAGTCTCACTAAGGATGAAAGATGAAGTTGCCACAGACAAGAGTCCACATGTAAAACCTTTTTGGAATGGTCTTTTAATTTTTTTCTTCTAAGTTCTCATGCTGCTTTGCAAGGAGAATGTGTGACAGGACTTGGATGTGTAAGAAAGTTTGAAATATGTTTACTATTTTTAAGTACGTTCTTTAAAGAGCTACATGTTGCTGGGGAGAAAAATATATGGAACTGTAAATATCATGGGGTTACTCTACATATATCTTACGGGATTTTAATACCACAGCTTCACAAGTTCCTGTAGAATTGCAATTTGGGGGGTGAACTTTGGTAGGACAGTGATTATCTCATACAAAGACCAGAATTGATTGTTCTGATTTTCAGAGCTCCAAATATACAAAGTTACAATATGGGAAAACACTTAAATGAGGATCTTGAAGCCCCAAATCCAGGAATAGGCCATTGTGCACAGAAACTAACATGGGTAGTGCCGTGGGATGCACATTGGTACTGAGTATGGTGAAGAACGGGTCCAAGGTTACCAAGTCGAAGCTCTTTTTTATAGGGTCATTGCTCACAAAGTTTGCAGTGTCTCATGGTCCCCTAAACCCTACAAGCAAATCTAGCTCTTGATCCAGAGAACCATCTACTTGAATCTACCCATTCCATGTACAGATAGGTGTGGTTAGAGGTTCTCTGATCCCTGTAGCCGCTGGAACACTGAAAATACAGGGAGAATTTTTATCCAAATAAAGATTGAATGTGGTGGCACAGTGATTTTATTCCAAAGGCTTCCATTGCTTCCCTCCATCCTATCATTTTATTGTGGAAAGAGTATTGGAGTTGCTGGGGAAATTTATTGTTCTCCGCCATTCCTGGTATGTATATCTTGCCTGAATGTTGGGATGGCATTTCTATGTTTTTATCTCTGTGAATGAGGGAGTGAGGGATAACTCATAACTTATGACTCCCCATCTCTCCTGTGCGTGATGATAGCAACAGGGTTGACTCATCATATATTATACACACAACATATTTTTCTTCCCCTCTCTTGAGAAGGGCTGCAAATGCTGAAGATGACAGTTAGGGAAGATGAAAAATCCATAAAAGGATGGAATAAAGATGTTCCAAATAGAAGTAAACTTTTAAATACTTCTGTGTGACCGTGTTTGGTAATGAAGCCATTGATACGTGTGTAGCAAGCTAACGAGAATAGCTGAAAACGATTACCTTTGCCTCTGGGCTTTGTTCACTGTAGTTAGAATTATCTGGAGTCCACAATTCCTGTTGTGCTACAAATCTTTTGTAGCTAGACAGTTTTTAGGCCTAAGCAGTTGTTAAGGCAAGTAAGGGAAAGATTCACAATGTCCTTCCTTCTGTAGGCTCATGTCTGCTCCCAGTCTTATGGTGGGGCAGGACAATCAGTCTTGGAGTTCGTGGGGTGAGGGGGTGGACTTTGCCAACCCAATCACAAGCCCCCCCTCCCATACTGTCTCCCCACAGAAATGAGGAAAAGAGAATACTGGCATTTCTTTACCCTTTTCTTATCAAAACTGAAATTTGAAAGGTTCTTGGCCAATAAAGGAAAAATTGATCTTTAATCTTAAGGAAAAGGAAACAAACCAGTGAAACTAGGAGAGTTTTCTAGTAGTCACTTCTGAACCTGATGTAATGAAAGCATTCCAACTGGCTTATTATATTATCCTCAGCTCTTA